ACAAAACATTTTTAGTTTGTTTGTCACATGCCGATTTTTTGCTTTTTTGTCATTTTCAATGTTAGTAGTATTAAACATGTGAATCAATACAATACTGTACACAATTCTTCCACTGATTCCGGTTGCGGGCCATATCTTCAAGAGTGCTGATCCATTGGCACTCCTCATCTTTGGGTCCCCATCCTGGAAGACATACGGATCTAACAGCGGCTAGACACGACGTCAGCGATTTCATGTGCTGCCGCCAAGTGGAAGGCTGACCACCACGCGGTCGCTTCCAGCCAGGTCCTTGACGAGCGAATAGAGCGCGACGCGGTAGACGCTCAGGTGCCATGCGTTGGACATGACCGAGCCATTTTAACTGTCGCAACAAAACCAGTTTGTTGAAGGGAATACACACATTCCCCAAGATGCGACATCGAACGTCATCATTTTGAACTTGATGTTGCCACCAAACACGAGCGATCCTCCTTAAGCAACCGTTATCGAAGGCAGAAAGACGACGCATGTCTTCCACGCGAATCGGCCAGGACTCGCACCCATACAACAATACTGAGCGAACTGATGCGCTGTAAATGCGGCCCTTTAGTGAGAATGAGACGTCACGATGACGCCACAAGTGCCTCAGATTGACAAATGCTGATCGAGCTCTAGCGATACGAAGAGAAACTTCTTTGTTGATAGTGCCGTCAGCAGAAACACAGCTCCCAAGGTAGACGAAACTATCTACCTGTTCAAGTTGTGCACCTTCGAGAGTGAGCATGGGAGCAAGTGAAAGCCAATCCTTAAGCAGTACTTTACACTTCGATGGTGCGAAGCGCATGCCATACTTAGATGCTTCAACCGCCAAACGATCCAGAATGAGTTGCATACCCTGAGGATCGTCACCAAGTAAGGCGATATCATCAGCATAATCTAAGTCGGTCGCGCGCTCACCCGGTAGAAGCTCTAGGCAAAAATGTTGGAAACATTCTAGGGCATTCAACACAACGTCTTCGATTGCGAAGTTGAAGAGGAATGGGGACATAGGGCAGCCCTGTCACACACTGCTATTGACAGCGAATTGCGAGGAATGCTTGCCATAGACCCTCACTCTGCTGAATGTATGAAGGTAAAGTGCTCGTAAGAAGGCGGCATATTTCTCTGGCACCCCCTTCTTTAGCAAGCAACGCCATAAAGCAGGTCGCTCAACGGAGTCAAAAGCGGCACGTATGTCTAGGAATGCAACTATTGTGGGCCCGTGATAAATCTGGCGATGTTCAAGGAGTTGGCGGATCCACGCATCCGCGGCCAGGACGGAAACCAGCTTGTTCTTCACGGTAGTATGATTCACGTACTGGGGATAGTCTGCGAAGCAGAATGGATGCCAATAGCTTAGAGGCAACCGAAATAAGACTAATCTCGCGATGATTTGCACATGAAGTACGAGCGTCTTTCTTGAAAATCGGGACAATAACTGATTCACCCCAAGAGGAAGACACTTTCTCTTCATGCCAAATTTTTGCGAACAGCGCGGTTAGCTGGTTAATGATCGCCACACCACCGTACTTGAATAGCTCCGGAGGAAGTCCGTCTAAGCCTGCAGCCTTGAAGCGTTTCAAGCGTCGAACCTCGAGGCAGACTTCTGCCTCGCTGGGTGGATTCAGTGGGACGAGCCAGGGTGGACAACAAGGTGTACTGCATGTACTGATGGATGGTGGAGGCCAGTTGAACTGCGAGTGAAAGTGCTCGGACCAGCGGTTCATACGCCTCTGTTGGATGGTGATGGGAGACCCATCCACCTCACAAATGACCTCACTGGCATCACGGTTCCTGAGGCCAGTGGACTGAATGAGTTGGAACAGCCTGCGAGTGTTGCCAGAGGGCAGCGGTCTCCATCTCTAAAGCACGCTCAGACCACCATGTCTCGCGATCCTTGCGTAGGCTTTGCTTGAGCAGCCGGTTGGCAGAACGACGCCGCTCGTTGCAATCTGATTCCGCGGGGATATCCTTGCGGTGTTCGAACAGCTCCAGAGAACGAGCAGAGATCAAAGACTTCAAGGGGCGTCTAGTTACACCGCAGCATGACTGTCCGGAAATGGTCGTCGCTTTCCGTATACAAGTCCAGTGTCGTTCCACTTCTTGCGGTGGATTGTAGCTAAGTGTATATGCCAGTGAAGACTGATAGCTCTCCTGGACAGAGGAATCAGTTAATCTGTTTACATCAATCTTGCGGTGCTTCGTGTTTCGGGATTCTCCAAAACAGATTTTCGCGCAGACCAGAGCATGATCTGAGTCAACGAAGGTGGACCAACAGGATCTGCAGTCCAGTACGCTGCTGTGCCTTCGGAACCTAATTGCAATGTGATCAATTTGAGACCACGGTTGTGTTGAAGAAGGGGGACGCCACGTTGCGGAACGCTTCTTTGTACGCCTGAAGTTAGTGTTCGAAAGAAACAGACGGTTGTCCTCGCACATTGTGAGAAGTCTCTCCGTTATCAGAGCGGTTCTCATCGGGCGCGTGATGACCACCAAGGTGGCGTTCGTATGATAACAGGCGGCCAACCCGTGCATTAAAATCCCCAGCAAGGATAACGACATCCTACTTTTTAGCATTAGTCAAGAGCTGTAATAGATCCCGGTAGAATTCGTCCTTGACCGAGTCGCCCCTGCAGTCAGTTGGAGCGTACACGGAGATCACAAACAAGTTGCGTCTCTCTTCGTGGTGCCTGTTGATTCTACATGAACCCCGAAGCCGAACTGCACATAGTCGGCTGTTAATCGGGAACCAGTCCAGTAGTGCCGCCTCGGCCTTGCCACTTATTGCTATACCTATGCCAGCCAAACCCGCTGAGGCTGCTTCTGGATCTCCAGAAAGACGCAGGTGATATCTGGCTTCGTGGTCAGTGGGGGATGTCAATGTAAGCACAGTGCTGGGATTTTGCAATCGGGTTTCTGGAAGGCAGCAGACATCAACGTTTAGGGAATCTAGGGTGCGCGCTAGACCGGCTTGCTGTCCATTCTACATGAGTGTCCGAATGTTGAAGCACGCCAGACGGAACGAGGATCGGGGACGAAGGAGAGCCATAATTTGAACTCCTTGATCTGCGGAGCAACCGGAATCGCAGCCAGATTGTTGAACACATGAATCGGAAAAGTGAGGATTGTTAGCAAACAAACAATTGGCGTGTGATGAAGTCGCGTGAAAGTGAGTAGCAGAAACAGTAGCTGATCAGCACATTGTAATACAGTCCATGGTTTTGCAAGAGGGCGTGATACTACCCGGTTGCCCAAGCCGAAGTAGGGAGTTGACTTAGGGGACTCCACCCCAAGCCTTTGGTTAAATAACCTACCCGCAAGGCAGCGGGGCGAATTTAGGGAATAGCGCCCATTGTGAGGCGTTGACTGAATGATCAGTTCATGCGTCTTTGTTTGGTAGATTACCAAACAGGGGCCCAATGCTCTCCATGAAGTTAGCACAATTGCTGGAATACAATGCCCCACGGAGGTGATACATTGTCGCCGAACACTTTGGTGGAACGAGGTGCACCCGAACCACCCAGCTAGCACCACGAGGAGGTAGTTCGGCAAGCCAGACTATATATATAGCTCAGGTTGTAGAGCAGCGGACCGGAAATTCGTGGACCGGGGTTCGACTCCCCGTCGAGGCATATTATTGTGCGTGAATTTTAATCGTGACTTCTACTTTCTACAAACTTTACCCTACTCACAAACTTCAACATTAATCTACCATCGCCCCCTTGGACATTTGAAGGACAGGTACTTCGGTCCATTGGGAAGTGACGTGTGAGTGAGACAATCTGCAACATCAGGACAAGTACTGTGAACCCATTGGCAATACGTCGCGCACCAAGCAGTAGTCGTGTGTTAAAATTTGCGCACCTAATCGTCAGCCCTCGATAGCTCAGGTGGTAGAGCAGCGGACCGGAAATTCGTGGACCGGGGTTCGACTGCCCGTCGAGGCATATTATTGTGCGTGAATTTTAATCGTGACTTCTACTTTCTACGAACTTTACCCGACTCACAAACTTCCAATTCCACTTACTTTTCCATCATACAGATGCTTGGTCTATATTATGTTCTTACTGATCATACAGGTGACACAATTAAAATTTTGGGAACTCAGCCAGTCAACCCCCGAAATTTTGGAAGATGGAAATTAGGAACAATAATACCGGCACGAGAAATTCAGCGTTGTATTTCAGTAAAATGGTTCTGATTGTGTAGCGGAGCGTGAGGCTCCACGGAGTGTTTTTGTTACTAGTAATTGCTAGAAACTGTTATTCGCTTTGTTGTCTGCTTCCCATCGCCAATCAAGCCATTGACTGACCTTAGGCCAACCAATTGCAAGCACTGTTGATCTAAAGTGGCAGTGGTGTTACAGCTACGAAATGGGATTGGATGATTCCCACGAGCGATAGCTTACTTTCATTTTGTGTTTGGTTTTCATCTACTGTCATTTTTTCTTGAATGCTTTCTCCGCCCTCCGGGTTCGTAAATGAACACTGGTGATTCGTTGCAAAGATATGTCTCGTGTTCGATTTACAAGTTAGGGAAAGTGTTAGGTGGCGCCTGGGATACTAGTCGGTAGCAATGACGCGTAAAATATGTGCCAAATACGGGACGGTAGAAAAGATGGAGGAAGTTGAACCCAACCTATATTGTACAGGCTACAAGGAATAGGGATCGAATCAGCTAGGGCAAAGAACCGTGTAGCACGGGACTCACGAGAGTAATTTGTGGAGGCGGATGTGCAGTTAGTAAATCAAGTGAGCGTTAAGAAGGTTCAAACAACAATAAAATCTAATGTTGTAAAACAATGAAAGTGTGTTTTCAGGCGCACTACAAGAGTAACGCAACGTCCTCGCCTGTTCATGTAACTCACATGCCTTACCTCAGTCTGTAAGCTTTTGTTTGTTTTCTAGTGTCCCATTATTTCTGGCCACCGCCTTGATGTATTATGCGTTCCACTCATGCTTCACCTCCTCCCCTTCCGCCAGGTGCGAAACACCATCATGAGTGAGGACGATTTATGCGAACGTCTGCGATTTGAGAAGAAGCAGTTACGACAATATTTGCACACTCTGAAGACTGATCAGTTCATTAAATCCAAAATTCAGCTGGAGACAGATGCAGATGGAAAAACCACGAAGATAATCCACTACTTCATCGAATATCAGGTAGCTTCATGCACACAACGTTTTCATTTCGGAGTCCGATTCTTTGCAGCTATTCACCCATGACCCAAACGCCATCAAATTACCTTCACTAGCTTTTCCATGACATTAGCAGTAAACGATCGTTAGGATTAATAATGATAAAGAGAGAGAAAACATCAAACTGCCATCCTGAACGGAGTGGAGAAATCCAGCTTCATCAAATGGAAGATCCGTGAAATCAAATTCAAGAGCATTTTTTGCCTCTTATCGGTACCATGTTGTTCCACTAGTATGGCTGATTCTTAGACCACCATCTAGAAAGAGTGTGCCAGCTCAATCGATCCCTTCCGTTCTTTTCTTAGCGTCTGAAGTCACATCCAGCCAGGTTCACAGCACCAGCCCACAAGCCCATGCGAACATCGTGGCCTATCCAACGAGGGTGATTCAACTTCATCCATCGGATCCATAGCAGCACTAGTGGTTTTGTCATGAAGCCACAACTAGCCGACCTAAGTACTAATCATCACACTAGATGTGATATATGTTTCACGTGCACCGGTGGTCGAGACGCGCATTCCCTCGACGTCTTATGCGCAGCGCCCAAACTTCCCTGGCCAACACAGCATCCGTGGTCGCACTACGACGTTCTCAGCCTCAGGTACATATAGTTTCACTTGCTTACGAACAGAATGTACCAGATATCCCTGAAAGTGAAATCATCTACTTCCCGATCGCACAAGGCTCGTAGCTAGCGGAGCTCGCCAACGTTTCTTTCGCCGCTTTGTTTAAGGTTGATACGTTAGGGTTTGATTTTGAGTAATTGGTCTAAATTTGCGCCACTTCCAATCCAACTTAACCAACAATGCATTCAAGCTATTCCGTTAAACGCCCCTCGAATTCTGCTGTAATGTTGCAAACGCAACCCATTTCGGCAGTTTCTGACCGCTAACTCATGGCACTCACCGTCTAATGGCACTTGCTCAAATAACCGGATTACACCCACTTATGCAGTGCATATGTTCATGAAGGAGGCTTCGGTGGTCTTCAATTCGGTAAATAACCGCATAAGTACAGAATTACATAGTAATCTGCCGTATAACCAGAATAAACTATGCAACTATGACCAATAACGGGTCAAGAAAAGTGACTTAGTGTAAGCCCGAAACGTCCTTCAGGATCAAGACGCCTGCACCTTATCAGCAACACAGTCACAAACACCTAGTTATCTCGGGAACATAAGGTGACGTCGATGAAAATGCTTCATTGCGACTTTGCTAACATAATAATCAACAACAGACGGTCATTCCGGTTAGGAGACGACGTTAGATGCATCAGTGGTGCCGATTTCGAGCCATATTCTGTAAACAGTGAGACTGACTCTGTTCGACCATCGATGCCTGTGCATTGCTGATTTGATTTCAAGAGAGCGGAAAGGGTACCGTGGAAGTTCCTCCTCTGATGTTCGAAAATAAGCCCCCGGGTTTTTTGGTTGAATATTGCCTGTCCGGTCCGAATCGCCTCCGTCACATGCCGGTGAGTCGGTTTAGCTAGACACCCATCACTCATCATTATCATCATCATAAATACACGTTAGCTGAGGATGAGAAACACCTCAACTAATGTGCCACGATGAAAAAAAGATATAACACATGGGAAAAGCTGCATTAACTCACAGGGGATGCTGATATATAGCAATCCAAAAATTCCCATTTGATAACATGAATCGAAGAAGGCAGATACTGAATAAAGAATTCTTTTCGATAACACTCATCCGACTCAGGAATTTACATGATGGCAATTACGTGCTAAATGTGTCGGATAGGACTGCGTGTTGATTAGAACGTGTAATTCCAATGGGAACGAACCAATAAATCACGCAGTCACTGGAGGTAGCAGATTATGTACAAGGGGCAAATCACTTCAACAAACAAAGAGCAACTGGGGCACAAATTAAAGGAACGTACAATGAAGTTGTTGGCCACGTTAGAATCGGTCTAAATAAGCTATTCCCTTATTTCGCCGGTAAAATCGAGATGTATAGTACAGTATGTGGGCGATACCTTGGCACTCTGCAAATCGAAAGCGGAGTAAGTGGACCTTTTGAAAGCTTTTAACGACGCGCATCAGAATCTACAAGTAACCTGTGAGCAGGAGTCCGGAAACTGACTACCCTTTCCTGAATGTTGATATCATCAGAAACACTGATGGATTGTGCAGCAGAACAGTGTATGAAAACCAACTTGGACTGGACAGTACACCAACTTCTATAGTACGGTACCACTACAGTACAAACGGAATCTAGTCCGAATTCTTGCCTTCCGGGCACAAAGAATTTGCAAATCGGACACCATCACCGACAAATTGCAGAGAATCAGTGACGTTTTAGGAACAAATTGGCATCTGAATGATTTCATCCTCAACATAAACCACCGGGGATAAATGTACCCAAAAAAGAACTCATTGTGCATTTTTCTTTTAAAGGCGACCGTGTGTGTCCAAACGCCTCAAAGGCCCTGTTGAAAAGATCTATTTCGCGACTCGCCTACGCATAGTATACTACGACAACCCTTCACACCAAAACCATTGAAAGATAGACGGCCTCCGTTGACTCGAGCAGTGCTTCTTTATCATTACTCGTGCTCCTGTGGTGCACGATACGTAGGTCGTACTACGAGCCGAAGTGGTTTTACTGAAGCGAAACGAAGTATTCTACTAGCTCCACCATGTCGCACCACTTAGAGTGCAGTCACGCATGATCAGGGTCATCTACTCTATTCCGGAGCTTTTCTCGCGCGGATTCCGGAAGTATCTCATATCCGTTGCGGAAGCTATCTATATCCGCCAACACAAGCCAGAGTTGTGCGCACAATAGTTGTACGTCCCTTACGTCTGTCGTGATCAACTTCTGTTGTACCATCGTTTGATTTGTCCCCCATTTGATCTTTGCTTGTGAAAGTGATTTGCTTCTGTATATTAGCTGCTGTCTTAACTGACCACGTGATTTATTTAGAGCCCTGAATCCTCCCTAGGACTGGCATGCCCCAATGTGTGCACTTAGTGGCAGATTGACCAACAGGCAGCACCTGCCCGAACAATAGAGATGTTAGCAATAGAAAACTGTTGTTTATCAGATACACAACTGCAAGATTTGTGTTTCATGAGTACCTTGTAATTCTCAACGTGCGACACTGGCAGTACTTTCTCAAAGCGCTTGTCCGTAGATGACGCAGTTTCAAATTCCGATCAAGCCGACCTAGGCCTTGTTTTGAGCCCGCGGGCTGAAGCAGTCTGATCGACTGGATCACTATGAATAGCCAGATGTGCGCCCTCAGATTAGCCGACTCTTTCAAAGACTCGAAGTCGGGCGAAGACAAACGGTACTTGTTTTCCATTGCTGCATACGTGCCCCTAAACTTTAGCACCAACCCGGTGAAAGGTAACTTTCATCACCGACTGAACGAGGTCATTCGTTACAGGAAAAGTACGGGTGCCCTGGTGCTTGCTGGTGATCTGAACGCCCAAGTCAGAAAGTTGTCATCTGAGGAGATTCATCTGGGCGGCCAATACCGTGTAGGCTGCCATAATGATGACGGTGAACGGTTGTTACACCTGTGTGATAACGCTCGTCTGTTACACGCGAGCACTAACTTTCGACGCAGCACGCTCCAAAGGGTAATGTGGCTCCCACCAGTCTCGCACTAACCATGGACGCAAATCGATCACATCGCAAGCAGTTACCTCCGGAGAGGCTGCGTCAAAACTTGTCACCCGATTTGGAGCACGAATGTCGACTTCGATCACGCTCTTGTGCTTGCCGATCTAAGAGTGCGTTTTGGCGGACGTCCGTTGTCAGTGCATAGGTACTTGTCAACTGTGGAAGTCAAGAGTTCTGAATGCGTATCAAAGTACGCTGTCATTCGGTCTCAGTCACCGTTCATTATACACGTTAGCTAGAGGCGGAAAACATCTCAGATATGGTGCCGCAATACAAAGGAAAGAACATGCGACAGAGGTACACCGGCTGAGTCACCAGTAGCGGATGGACATCGTTCCGGAGAGCTAACAGCCTCTTATTATGCCACAGAAAAGATTTACATTATATCTAATAAAAGAGATCGTGGTTGAAGGGGAGGCTAAGCGAATGGGGTAAGGACTAAGAAACTCACAACACAAACGGCATTGAGGTTGGCTTTTAGCCAAGTCGACTAGTGTATCCATCCAAAAGTATTCATCGTCCCTCGGACTCCAGCCTATCAGTCGGGAGACGCCAACGGACGCCCATTTCGAAGTGACGGTCTCATTCCTCCTGCCCAAGTCATCGCTTGGACCATAGCGTGAAAAGCAAGACGGACCAACACCACACAGTTGTTTCGTCAGTGAATTCATTTCGCAATGCCAAGTCAGCTTTTATCAGCCTCCGATCTTCTGCTATCCTACATCCGGTAAACAAAACTAAGGGTGCTCTCTGTTGATCGGGTATGTGTAGCACCTGCCCAAATCAAAACAACTTATCCGATGTGCTCCGTTGTTTAAAAGAGGAACCTTATTGTTATCACGCAACACTCGTTTATGCACATAATCATCGTTACAGACACGTTAGTGCCATCCGACACCAGCAATGCTGCGCAGCAAAGACAATCTAGCCGCTCAACGTGCATCATACTGTAAGGGCATAGTCTCACTCCCTATAGGGGGCAGACAGCTCATACTGTTCTCTAGATCACCTATTATTCCTATATCGTGAGATTCCTCAGCGGGATACTCGGTGATGGTGTTCCCAATAAATTTGAACACATATAGGGGAATTAGACAACCCTCACATTACGCATTGCAGCCTGTGTCTATCGAGAGATAATATAGCGGCACAAGCGGTGCTCCCTCGTCATTACACAACTAAGTTGCCGCAGTATAAAAAGATAAAATATACAAAAAAGCGAGGTAATAAAGATAACAGAATACAAAACGGCTTAGCAACAAGCAGTACAACCAGCGTTCCCAAGCACAATCGACGTAGGTCCTTTTACGCATACCTCACTGTGAACACTATGCTGAGTCAGTCCGTACGCTCTTCATTGTATTACTGTGTTTCCTTTTCCCCATATGTTGTAGTTCTCATTCTGATCAACCCACGGGACTTGTTAAGCATGTGCTTGTTTACCCGTAACACACCATCGTTCCATTGACTCGAACGCTTACGTGCGAAATTTTAAGTCATTATGCCCAACCCGTTCTTTGTGCTAAAATGGAAAATCCTGAGTTATGTAACGCTTGCACTTTTCACATTAGTAACGGTAAGCTTCGTCCCCATCGCGTCTTGACGACGTACGTCACAATACATCCGCTCTCTTATATGTAATCCTATTGGCGTGACAATTAATCAACTCAGTATTTTGCGAAATTGACATTTTATTGGGGTTAACCGCTTCCAAGCAGTTGTGTTCCTTCTTCTGCCTAATGGACGCACTTTACCGTACTAACTCTGATCAGTTTCACCGGAGACGATTAATCTGAGGCTCCGGTTGTACATGGATGCTCTTTCAACTTCTTCTGAACAGTTATTTGTGAATGTGGTGAAGTATCGTTTGGATCAAATGCAACGCAGACTAGAGGCAGACCAGCGCCAAAGCACTAGCAGAGCTAGTTTCCGATGCGCCAGCTGCCGTATCACTTACACCGACTTGGAAGTTGACCGACTTTTGAGTATGGACCATCCCGGAAAGCTAGAGTGTACATACTGTCGCGCTGAAGTGACCGAAGAAGAGGACAACATCTCGAGGACAGACGCACGTGCATTAATTGCTAAATTCCACCGCCAAGTGAGTTAAAACCGGAACAAATGTTTTCTCTCCTGTCTGCTAGCTCACTGGTATTTCTTGCAGCTCTGACTTATTTGTCATGACAATTTACTGGATCTTTAGCTTTGCTTCCTGCACCATTTTCCCCCATATTTCCACAATATTTAGGTTTTTATGAATGCACTTGTTTATCTCGTTGGTTCTCGTACTAAAGCGATTCTGCTTGATCAGTGCAAGCAGATGTTTCATCTGTCATGCTCTTTCACCGTAAACGAACTCCACTCAGATAAATGGTTGATTAACTGCGGGCTGAACTTTTCACGTGTTCCAGCACGGGCATCTCGATAGCTTGGTCGCCATCGCTATTGTTAGCGTGTGCAATTTTCGTGACAGTGCTAAGTCCCATGGGTTTCTCTATCCCGTAACAAGTTACATGAGTTATCTGACAACAGATGACTAGCACGCCAATCAGATGATGTTTTTATGAGAACGCGCTCGCTCTCCGTCTGAGCGTTTCAGCTGTCCTTCGTTGCCTGACCGTAAGATAATCGTACACGATTAGCTTACTTATGAGTAGTTCGCGTTTTAGCGAAATATGGGCTGGATTATGACTAGTCATGTTTGCTGGTCCTCATGTTTCCACTGGTATTGTAAATGCAGCGCAAACCATCTGTCGGCTTGTTGGGGGCAGATCACATGTGGTTGTTTGCGACCGCAGGAACAATCTCTTTCTGAACCAGTTACTATCAACAGGTTGCGTATTATCAGCTAGTTGGGACGGCAGTCGTGCCTAGTCCCCTCTGCTAGCATATGTGTGATCGTGTGGTGAATACTGAAGTGTAGGTACCGTGGCTCTGAATGCGTTTGGAACATTTAGCTTCTGCGCTTAGTTCCCTTCTCCCTCTTTAATTCTCATCAGTAGTCATTATGGTTGCACAGCAGCGAAGCATCAGTACGAAGTGCTAATATTCTGGTATAATGAGGCCCAGACTTTATAAATTGGCTAGTCTAGGATATGTGCCCAGGAGGTGGCCACTGCGTCCGTGTTGAGTGGCTGTCGTGATGACTGACGGACCAAGTGAATGAAACCGGCGTACAGCCGATTTGTTTCCCGCTAGCTTCGATGACTAAGCGCACGTGATGGCGGTTTTACAGCTTTTTCGGGTTTATGTGAATAAGATACAACAGCTGCACAAATCAGAATTGATTGACCAAGGGACAAACCAACGAAATTCGACCTACAACCCAGGTTTGGAAACAAAACACCGAGTCGGTGATAAGATACGTTGACACATTGATGTAAACACATGTATGGTGTATTTCGTCTCGGAGTCCGTGCACTCTTATCATCCACATTGTGCTCTGTATGAATGAGACAAGGATTCGGCATATTCGTCAATTTTCTGCGAGCAATAACACAGAACAGAGTATTGTTTCGATCGATTCCCTATTTTTATGTGTCACTCTGGATATTTGATTTCCAAGAGCCATGTCATGCTAGCGGGGCATGATTCGCTGAATATGATGGCATCTCCTGTTATGATAGTTTAGGTATCCTTTCTCACTTTGAGCCCCGACCACTATGTTCCGCGGTAACAGAAATCTCCCGACCGGAGTTGGTGTTTTATGCACACAAATGAATACATACCGAAGCACTCAATTTTGACGACTGTTAGGCGATCGTAAGTAGTAATTATGCCATCACAGATTGGCATACAAGCGTACCACGCAAAAACACCTTCGACTTCATGCTCCCATGTAAGATGGCGCATATCAATATTCGTGGAATTTTGCGTGGGATCTGGTGACCGCCGTCAGATTTCACCATAATGTGCCTTTATGAGACGTCACTCTGGACGGATGAATCGCCTGTTCAACTAAAAATACATCGGTTCACCATTTTAGCCGCTTGTCGCTGGGACAAAATGACCAACCGAAGTTGTTGCGTGCCTGGCTCTCCCAGGTGCGTCAAGAGAAAGAATACACATCGGTTCAGCACACAGGTGTTCGGTTCACAATTCTGAGGTTATGTACAATTAGTTTTTTTTTTAAAACTGGCCCACTCGTTTGATCGCCTGCACTGAGGCAGTCGATTCCCTTCGCCCAGGTTTCAGCCACCATCACAGAAGTAATTGGCTCATGACTGTTATGACCATGATGCAACCTAGGCCAGTACGAGCGTATCGGAGCACTTGTTACATGATACCTCGGGTTGTCTCTTCTGCAAAATAACGAGAGCGCCTCACCCACCAAACCGGTTATGGAGCGTCAGGAGTTTAGGGCAGAACACCTAATACTCAGTCTCTCCATAAGCAGCCAACAATTGCAGTGACTTTCGTGGCTCCGATTAGATGCGCTTAGCTCGGAGCATCCAACAGTGAGGGAAGAGTTCTTCTCGGGCACCATTTGTGAACACTCGTGTCAGTGGAATTCTACTGCATACGGCTGACGGACATTCGAGAGATGAATAAACGGTATTTTCATCGACAGCGCGAGGCAGCGCCCAAATGTGTGGTCTGTTCATTATGTGCAGCGGGTTCGCATAAAACAAGTTATTTTTTTCGGGTTTTTCAGAGCACTTCCCAAACTATTTGGGATGATTGATTGGTTGAACCTTTCAGAAAGACTGTGAGGTTGCTAATGATAATGAATGCAGTTAAATCCAAATGTATAGATGAAGTAATACTGTCATCCGTGGAACCGTCTCCAAAGTCCTGCTTCCATGCATGGTAGTCTGTTGAAACGTTTCACCCGCACTTCTGTGCTCCATCTGGCCGTGTGCTTGTGTGGCTTTAAAGCGGGTAAGCTATCGTCTATTTAACTCATCTTAAATGGCTGTTTTTATGTGTATATAATATGGACACCCAAACCATCTAGCCCGTACGATGGATCGGTTTTTTGGGTCAACGACTTCTTACACGCCAATGAGTTTTCGGAAATATGCGTTGCATGGGTGCACTAATTAGCATGGAAGCTTTAATCCGTCGTCTTGAGAGATCGACCCAGTCGTGGCCAGAAATGAAGCAAGGGATGATATAAAACAGGGTAGAAAGGTAATAGCAGTAATGATTTCAAAAAAAACGAAATGATAAATCTTGCAAAAGATTGATAAAATTTTTGATCAAATTGTAAGTTGGGATCGCCGAAAACATATGGCTGCTTGAGTTATCGATATGCAAGTCAGTTTTGAAAGAAACACTTTTAGATTCATCCATCAGTTGCATGCGTTCGAAAGATAGAGAAATTAATATCGCCGAGCACTGAGAATTGCTATTTGTTCCTATGCTGTTGCTTCCGGGAACGAAAAAATACTTACATTACAGAACGAATGTAAATAAGCGACCCATAAGTAACTAAAAAAAACAGTTTTTATCTCGCCATCGCGACGTGGGATGGTTTGTGTACCTCACTGATCCACTGAGCTATGCTAGGTGGTACTTTTAGCACCTTCAGAGCCACTCATATCAGACTGGCCAATAGTTAGAGAGCAGACAAACTCAGCCTCCTGATCCTCCAGGTTGGCGGTTGGAGTGACGGTGCCAAAACCCTGGTACCTTGCGGTAAGGTTTCTCACGAGCACTAACCTCTGAGACAGCACCCGCTGGAGGGTAGCATAGCGGCCACCAGCCGTAGACGTAAATGGATAACATCGCGGTCAGTTACCGCTGGAGAGATAGTGCCCAAAACTGTCGTTCGATTTGGAGCACAAACGTAGACTCCGACCACGGTCTTGTATGTGCCGATCTGGGCGCGCGTTTCGGCAGACGTCTGCAACGACGCTGTGAGCGCATAGACACCAGCCAAATGGCGAAGGCAGGTGTCCTGAATGCGTATCAAAGCACACTGTCATCCGAGCTGAGTAAACCCTCACTGAACACAGTTGAAGATCTATGGTCGTACATTCGCCAGAAGTTACTATCGGCAGGCATGTATTTATGTAGCAAATCGGATTGCCAACTTGCACATTGGGTCTCTGCGCAGTGTCTGGATCTTCTGGATGCTTGGAAGCGAAGACAATGAGCATCGCAAAGATCTTAGGGTAAAACTGAAGAAAGACCTCCACGAGAGTGGAGATTAGATCCACAGCCAGTCAAAACGCGTGGAACGTTGGGTTAAACACTTTGAAATGCAGTTTAATCAACCTGAGTTATCATCTCTCTTCCCTGGGCCGTCCCCTTGGATCCGCCCTCACGCGCACAAATAGTAAGATAGATCAGATTGTTAAAACTGAATAAAGCCGGAGAAGCAGATGGACTCCCATCAGCACTCTTCACATTCTGGGGACTGGATCTAACTGATGATTTGCACATCTTACAAGTTAAGCTGTGAGAACAGGAGAGTCTCACCAGACTAGGGCCGCTTTGTTCAGTCCCAATTTTCAAGGAAGGTTCACGTTCGGATTGCGGAATTTATAGAGAAAACCGTGTGATCTCAAAAGCCTTCAAGTTATTTACCTCTATCGTTTTTCATATACTTGCTGGCTTCCGTGAAAGCCAGATTCGTGAGGAGAATGCAGAGTTTCGTCGAACTCGCATCTGTATTGATCACATTTTCACATTTCGTCAATTATTGGAGCACCGCGATCTTTATTGGTAACCCACCGTACTGGTGTTTCTTCGACATCAAAGGTGCTTTCGATTCGATGGATCGACGTGACCTTTGGGACTGTCTGCTCAGCAAGTATCCGGTTAGTATGAAAAATTACTAGAACCTTGTGCGCGCATAGTTCGAGCAAAGTGAGGGTTTATGGCAAAATTTCACCTCCATTTAATATCTCCAGCGGTTTGATAAGGTTGTTCGCCGTCACCTTTCCTCTTCAACTTCGCTATTGACGAAGCTATGGAAACCACATTCACAGGACACGACTTGGAAGGTGTGGAGCGAACAACTTTTTGACTTGGATTATGCTGACGATATTGCTCTCATCTGTGACAGCTCACAAACGTGCCAAGCTGCATTGGACAGATTAGCACTGGCTGTCAGTCACTTAGGGCTTTGCTTTGCACCTTCGAAGTGCAAAGCTTTCCTCCAAGATTGGTAGGGACTCACCCCTGCACGGACCTTTGGTGGAGATCAGTTAGATGTCGTCCAGGAATTCAGTGTCTCTCTGATGTCCGTTAAAAGGCGGGCTGCAATATTTAACAACAACAACATGAACGGTACTCCATGAAATGAGCTGAGTTTCCTCTCCATTTTGCAAGGAACATGAGCATTACAGCCTATTCGTTCATCAGCTAAACAATGGTCATCAACCTGTCCCTTGCAACCAGACTGTTAGGTTAGATACGGTCCCCAGACGCCAGTGGGGCTGGTGACCCAGAGATGGTTTCGATTTACGCGCGTGGACACCCCAACAAAGTCAGTTACTTTACGAACTATCTATGTAATGAGTGGAATCACTTCCCTCGTTCTAGGTCTTCACTGTAAAAGGTAGATCGACTATTTCCAGTCTTGCTTTGAGGACGCGAATGATAGCCCAAATGGAGTAGGTTACGCTTAGCCACCATCGTCGAACGACAGAAAGATGCCATCCACGTGTGATCCAACCAGTTTTGCACCGAGTAAAAATTAAGCGCTTGTATTTTGGAACACGACACACAATATGATGCAATGAAAAAGGGAAACTCAGCTCTTTGTAGAGCTCATCTGTCGTTAAGGATCTCCGGAAATCGGGCGTGGACCATTGACGTAGTCCCGGCGGATTCTCGGACTGGGCAGCACGCATGTCAGTGCGTCACTATATCGCTAATCTGTTGCTGATGCCTTGAGTACCATTGCCTCATCAAGCTTACTCGCGACGAAAGGAGTTTGCTGTTGTTTCTAGGTCATTATTACTCGAGATAACAAGTGTTGTTTATGGAACTTGAAGAATTAGGAATCAGTGGTTGAGGAGATCAGACAACCACAAGGTCAGCAACACTTCCTGCGATCTGCCAAAATACGCTGTCCGTGGATTTGCGCCGAAAACCCTGTTGTTATTCAACAGTTTACCATCATCCTTATACAGCACGACGCTGCCAAAACTGTTCCGATCTTCCTTGTCTGCCTCTCTTCAAGGCTCATTCACTTCGGTAAGTATTCAGATTGTTCTTCACTGGTATCTTTATTCTTCATATAACGTGACCACTTTGTCCTCTGTGTGATCTCCTATGAAAAAATACCAAGATGGTGTAGTAGACTATGCGAACCGAATGTAGGCATATTCATCAGAAGCATATCTTGACTAAGTGTGGATCACTCTGAAAGAGTACATGGGAAGTACACCACTTTCTTCCAGAGCTCTCACCGGGATTTTCTTTTTCCTACCCTCAGATTCGTGATCCGATCGATGCCATGTTACGAGAATGCGACGAAATCCACCTATCCTCTTCTATTTTGGAACCCGAAATCAGACCACTGGAGCCGGTGAAAGAGGTTAGATACTATTCATTGGTCGTCTTCACGGTCGCCACGATTGTTCATCCCTAGTAAAACGAGAGCTTACATTCAAGCGAACATTCGACAAGCTAGACAGGTCTTCATCCGATTATCACTCTAGGACAATTTGCTCCGTTCACGCTGCCTAATGGACCTTGGCGTGGATCGCCACATGCTACGGTCTTTAGTAAAGGATAATTAGTCATGTCCCAGGCCCGGATCACTGTTCCCACAAGAGGAACATCTATGATAGTCGTTCACTCACGCTTCACTAGTATCGTTTGGAACCAAGTATGATGCGAACTGCTAAACACAGAACTCAAATTGTTTGTGCACCATCCCCAAAAAGAGCATATACGAAGTGCAACTTAACATCGTTCACCGTTAGAGATGCGCTACCAATCGTGGGCATTTTTGTCATCAGTGCATACGGCCACCGGCCGACTGCATCTGACGAACCTAAACCACCAACTCATTCAGCATCCTAACCCCGCAAAGCATTGTCCTTCGTAGGCTTATAAATTTGCACTCAACAACTTGTCTTGAGTAGCCTGGTGTATCAGGTGGAAGCCAATCCCACCACATCAGAAAATGATATCTGGTCGTCACCTTCAGCAGGGGTCGATTGGGTAGTAAGCATTCTGGAGTTTCATCTCGATAATGATCACTTGAATTTCAGCGGATGGAAGACTAATAAACCCCATAATGATTGTTGGGTTCAGTGTTAACTTGTTGTTCACTGGTTTCCTTTCGCTCTGCGCTTGACAATATGGTCGTAAATCCCCCCGGGGTTAGAGGGTACACACCTCACTCGAGACAGTAAATATCATCCACGAGCAGATTCACTACTCGAAGTGTAGTTTCAAGCGTCACAGCCTCTTTAAAGGCTTAGATTAATCGTGCACCCAGCCGAAGGCATGCGCCCCCGGTATACTTCATCATAAACAAGAAACGTGAATTGTATTGATTCGCGACTCCGGAAGCAGCTTAAGAAAACGGGCACCTTTTAGACGATGTTTACCATCTCACTGGCTGGTAGTCACGAGCAAAATGTCATCTAACAGAAATTGTCACTTTTGTTGCATAGTCCTAACGAAGCGGATTGTCATCATCACTATTCCACATCTCCCACTTTGTCCTCCACCGTTGCTGGAAATATGGTAAGCTTCGCTGATTACGTATTCAATCTGCAACTCTCATTGACTAATCTTCGTTCAATTTGATTAGGACTCATCTTCCGACCCGGTGGAACAGCGGAAATCAGGCATGCCTTCAGACACATGGGAGCTAAAACGAAATACCACAGTATTGGAGCCACCAGAGAGCCGCGTCCGAATAGTGCTCAGCGGTCAATCGAGCGATGCGTCAACTCAGGCGGTGAAACAACGTCCAGTATGGATGTCTGATAGCACTATCAATTCCGGACCCTCCGCAGGTAAGTTTCATATGCTCTAAAATCAATAACTATCTTAGGCTTACACAAGTATCATGAAAAAAGTCCACTTCACTATGATGGAGTTAATGTGTGGACGATGTGCGATGAGGGCGGCAACCCTCCTTAGCCATTTTACGGTTAGGAACAGGTTAAATGGAATCAATCTCACATCAACAAGTGCAACCTTCGCGATAACTCATGCCCCTCTCTTTCGTCAGGTCTCGGTGAACTGGATCGCGGACCTGGCGTAGGTCATTCCCCGTTATCACAAGTCGATTTCCCACCCAATGCAATAGATTCAATCACCCAAACGCTAACTCCAGGTCGAGTGCCCACTGGGCTCCCCAACACCAGCAGCGTCCCGAGCAACAAGGATACCACGTCCGATGTGGCTGGATCGGCACCTGCTCCCACCTCATCTGCGTCCGGTGGAGACATAATGCAGTTATTGTTGGTGCACGAGCGCCGCGGACAATTTGTCCATCCGGCCACCAAAGTGCAATCCTCCGGTAAGATCATTCTTCACCTATATGGCTACACTAGCACACATTTTCCGATCAATAAATAGGGCATCGTGTGTGTTGTTATTTTCTCAAGCCAACATTTCAGGGACAAATGAGTGGCCCGTTGAGATTGCTTCTTCGGTTCTCCGGTTCAAAACATTCGTCTGGAGATGCCCGGGGAGGGGTGAGGCCTAAACTGAGTGAGTGACAGTGTGTGCCTCCACCACACAACTCTGGTGGCAACACCATGGATTTTGAGTATGCGTCTCGCAATTTTAGTTTTCGCAGCGACTTACTTTGTAGTAAACCCCAGTCATTTCGATGACTTGGTAACCGGTTTCGTACAGAGGTAGCCAGGAGTCGCGACTGCTAGCTCACGCAGTAAACAATAGCCAACCAAGAACGAGGCGAGACAAAAGGAGCTGTCGAATAAAATTGACATGTGGGATTAGGACATAATTCTAAGTAGGCACGCAGATATTGGCAACCTATTGCTAAGAAATCAAGGCTCTGCGAGTCTCCGAAACACGACCTTTTCTTCCGAGTAAAGTGACGGGGGTATTTCAAATTAGACTGTTCCATGTTTCAGACGATTCAGTAATTCACCGAGCTTGTCAACGGCGTTACAAACGTTTTGTCGCCAATCGAAGCGGTACCATCCGTGCATAGTTATTTGTAGTGTGGTCGAGAAAAATTTGCCTGGTAAGCTCTTTCGCGACCAAGCTTCAAAAACTCTCCACCTCGATTTGTTACGAAACATCCGCAACCAGATTGTCAAGCTCGGCAAACAAATGAACCACTAAACTATCCCATCTTTCGCAAAAATCACACACCCCCTCCAGCGCGGGCGATTTAGCAAAGTGGAGGGAAGGCAAGTCAGCGGACAAAAACTACGTGTGTCACTTTCGCAGGCCCCGGGAATTGTCCGAACCCAGTAAGTATCGAAATACCCGGTCTTTCGTTTTCTATAGTGTACAACAAATAAATGCACTCAGGTAACTTGGGCCTTGCGCTGACAATGGAGATAAAACGCGCGTAACATGGATTAGACCAAATAAAACGTCATCTCGGTGTTGTGCAGGAATTGGTAGAACGCACTACTAATTTCCAGATGTCGATTGCACGCAGTACGATGACGTTAACACTGATGGCACATAACAACTGAGAGTAAAATCATACAAACATCCCGCTCCTGTTGTGAGATAAACCGTCGCATAGCATCTATCCATGCATGTACTAAGGGTCTCACCTTTTCTTTCCAGCGCGGACCCAAGCATCAAAGCAACCTGCAGTCCCTACGCCCTCCGAACTCGGAGGACGAAGCCAAGGTGAGTCACTGGTTCACAAATCTCAAGCGGTTAGATATAAGGGGTCTGAGTAACATCACGGGACGCCTACACGATGATCTAGTTATTTCCCTCTGGAGTTTCGGCATTACTTGATCCCAACATTGCATGTCACTTCGCTTTCATAATGTTTCAGACGCATCCAATCGGGAAGAGCCGGACAAGGAAGAGGAAAAGTTCCTTGTACAGATCGGCGACCAGCTAATACCGTATGCAAATATAACACCGTCTATGATCAAAGCGATGACCCCGAACGAAAAAGCTGAATACATTCGGATCGGAAAGCAAATGTATCAGAGTGTTATGCTGGACTAGTCCAGTTGTGTTATAATGCCCATGATTGTATATAAAGTAATGTTGCAAAGATTGAGTGCATTTTCTGAATGAAATATACATGAGTAGAAAGGTTCACGTAGTCATAGCTAGAAAGGTATCGAGAACTATGTCACCTGTAATCAATTTTCGGAACATAGCGCGGTGCAATCGCCCGGGATATCTTTATGTCAACAAAGTATTTTTAATTTTCTCCAAACTGCAGTGTGGTGTGCGCACACTAGCACCTTTCAAGTACCTGCACAAGTGGACCAGTTACTTCACTGTCCTCAGCATCAGTTTTCTCCTGCCTTGTCGTATGGAATGGGGGAACCCCTGCTTTTATAGTTCAAATCGTACTTTACAAATCGAACGCAGGCGGTAGGGATTCAGGAACACAAATGTGAACAAACAGAAATCATAAGTGGTGTAGTGTCCTTGGTCTTATACTGTTTTGGATGTATATTAACGAGATATTCGACGCAATAAAATGCGCAACACTATACGTGTTTGCCGACGATAGTAAAATTGTCTACATTTTCATCCTGCTAGCACAAACGAAGCTACCAACATGGTCCTGCTCGATCTCCACGCGCTCGGAACCTGGTGCTCAAAGTGGGGAATGTTATTTGCGACAAAGTGTTACGCTGTCTCACAAATGCGACATAACAGCTAACGGTCTGAATACATATGATAAGCGAATTAGTATATGCCATGCTGTTCGGGACCTGGGACTGCTCGCTCAAATTATCCGACCACGTAGCTAACGTCACTGCAGAGACTAGACAAACTTTTCGTGTTATTTAGAATTTTCAAATTAAAAGAAGCTGTACCCTACTTATGTTCATCACTTTCAGGCTCCCTTTTAAGATAATGCTCAATGGTGTAAAGTAGCACAAACAAACGAGATCTCAATGTACAGCGAGCATTCACGAAACACTTATCAGGAATATCATCGAAATTGGAATATTTCGATGTGAAAAATTCAAGCGTGATCCATATCTGGTTCAGACGAATGAAGCACAACCTAATCATATTCTTAAATGTCCTACAAAGTAAAATGCATGTTTCCAACCTTAATATGGCAACACCCACCCGATATTACTGTAAAAAAGGGATGTCCATCATCTAAATCCCAAAAAAGTCGATGTAGTTGCAAACCACTCCAACTCTATTACCATAATTCCGACTGACACGACAGACCGGATTATAGCCCTTGAGGAAGAAGTAGCCACGCTGAAATGCAAGCTTCATGAATTCAGCACATGCTATGAACAAGTCCTATCATTCTGTGAACTGCTTAGAGGCTCAGAAACTGTTACACTGGACCGTTTGAGCACAGCTGCTTCCTTACTAGACTCAGTTACATCCGAAACGCAAGAACGCCTCCGTAGATCGCATAACGTTATCATTTTTAACGTGCCTGATAAACCGAACATCAACAGGGTAACAAATACCCTCTTAAAAGCATGCAATATGGATGGAGTCTCCTGTCAGTGCCTCAGACTGAGGAAAAAGGAAAACATGACCACATGTCCGATACTCTTACAGTTTCCAGACGATAGGAGCGCATCTAAATTTGTACGCAGTAAAAGACTAGTTGCTGCACAAACTAATTTTAAAAATATTATTATCAAACACGATCAAACGCCTCTTCAAAGACGATTAACAATGAAACAAAATCCCTCCACCCATCATATGCCCCATGTTCCTACTAATGAAGCCAGTACTGACGCTATCATCAGCAATGTCGACCTTGACAAGTCAACCGCGTCGTCTAATATAGGCGATGATGGACATCTCAGTCTTCAGCGGCCTCATGAAAGAGTCTCAAATAGCAGTAGTGATGTGTCCAAAACTAAAACTACCAACCAAGCTGAAAATACAACGACGCAGACATCTGCTGACCACACACTCAACTCCCCTATCCCTTCTCCAAACTGCGAGCCTTTACAAAAGTTTACAGTAACTGTACCTGAGACCTATTGTGAGCGAGACAAAAAATCAGATTGTAACGTTGGCAGCCCGAAAAATAAATCTCAATCCGACCCGAATGAACTAAGCTATAGGTTATCTCCGACCAACCGAGGCGTAGGCAAAAACAGGGGAAAGCACCCTGCCAGAATTTCTCCCATAAGCACTCAAAGCTCATTAGGTCTGAAGCAACCACCACCAGAGCGTAGGCATATGCAGCTAGGCCAACTGAGAAAAAGTATACGTCCTCAAGCCTCTACATGCAAAACCGACACTGTTGTCGGGATAAGTTGCAGAGAGCCGGCCCAATACTTACCCACAATGCCTCTGACTACGTTTCCAAATCCCGCGACCTCAAGCTGGCAAAGTCCTTATGTGTGCGACACCGAATTAGCAAACAAAAAGTTGGTAGGCCACAAGGACTTACAGGTAGGAGGGTGCAACCCCTATCTACCTCAAGTCAAAATTCACCCACCACCACCCGCTGTATTACTCAATTGGCAACAATACAAACCGAAGCAAAATGAGTTTGTCGACTTCAGCATCCCCCACCCCTGTATACTACGGATGTCAGTCCTTTTTTAGACTATCGCATACCACCACTTCCTCCCCCACCAATCCTGCCCCTATCACGTGCGATTATGAATCAGAGATTAATCAAACTACTGGAGTATGTACTTCATTCAATCCAGTACGATCTGGAGCTCAGTGTGCCTCAACTACCTCACAACACACAATTCTCAGATACAATGACGATGAAACAAACATTACCCACCACTTTCATTCCATGTTAACAATGTCTTTCAATGCTGTCGTCATTAACATTCGTTCCCTTTTACCTAAATTAGATATACTTTCAACACTTATGTTTATGAGATCCCCCGATATTGTTTTTATCACTGAAACTTGGTGCACGTCAGAAATTAGTGATTCTCAGCTTAACATCCTAGGCTATAAGCTTTTCCGCAAGGATCGCTCGCACAAACGTGGTGGTGGCTGTGCCATATATCTTCGAAATAACCTGACTGCCATTCCCGCAGATCAACCTGTGTTCATTGACTTAGAAGATACACTATGGCTAGTGATCCCATCTATTGATCTTCTAGTGGGTTGTATCTATCGGCCGCCCCGAACTACTCAATTTGCAACCCAAAAGCTAATCGATATGATCAATTTTGCTTCCAGCACCACATACAAATCCAAAATTATGTGTGGAGATTTCAACCTACCACATGTTAACTGGACGCTGCCTACACTCAGAAACACGGCGGAGATTGAGGAAATTATCGCATGTATCCACCTCAATGGCTGGACTCAGCATGTTAGAGAGCCAACTAGAAGTGCTACCACCTTAGACCTTGTATTCACGATGGGAATCGCGAACGCTTATACATACATTGATAATCCACTACCTGGCTGTGATCACAACACGGTGCTTTGTGATATGACTATTGATTTACCTAAACGACCAAGTAAAATGCTAAAACCCATTCGCAACCTCCATCGTGTGGACTGGAACGCATTTAATGAACTTATCAGTACCATGAATTGGAATACGTCATTCCTAACGCACAACCCTACTGTGGCTACAAATGAGTTTATAAACAATATTGCCCTTGTTGTGGATCTACTAGCACCTACTGTAAGGAGAAATACCCATGAACATAGGGGTGAACTGAAGCTTCTGTCCAAAGCCAAAATAAAACTAAAGAAACTCAAATCGCTATACAGCAGGAACAACAGCTTCGCAACATTGCTACAAATACACGAGAACTTACTATATTTACAACGTCTAACCCTAACGGTCAAAACCAAAGAAGAAAGCCGGGTACTCAGAAATCCTGAGAAAGTACGTGCATTGATGCAACTACTCAAAAGAAGAAACCCTAAACCACTTCAGGAAATTGAAACGTTGGCTCTAGACGATGGTTCAATAACGCGTGACATCTCCTGTATATGCGAGGCCATGAACTCTAGTTTTGCCTCCTCTTTTGTCCCCAACATTCAGCCACTTCATCCTCCACTTCCAAAAAGAACGACCGAACTATACTGCAATATCCCTGTGACGTTAAGAGAGGTGCAAAGTGCCATCGCAGCCATAAAACCATCAACTCATCCAGGTCCAGATGGCATCTCCCCAACTGCTATAAAATTCGGAGGAAAAAACCTCGCACTATTGTTACTAAACATTTTCACACTTTCACTCACTACCGGCTGCTTTCCAGCTCAATGGAAGCAATCCATTATAATGCCTAAGCACAAGGGTGGACCGAGAAATCAAATGTCAAGCTACCGCCCAATAAATCACACCTCTGCTGCTTCCAAAGCCCTAGAGCGAATAGTCAAGAAGAACATCGTCCAATATCTTACAAGACTGGATCTGATCAACCCTTCACAGCACGGCTTTCTCTCAAAACGCTCCTGCGTTACATGCCAGCTACAATTTCTCGATCACATCACGACTATGATTGACAGAGGAATGGCAATTATTATAATTCTGTTGGACATGCAAAAGGCGTTCGACCGCGTGCCACACCAGCCACTGCTGTCTGCTCTAGAGTCATATGGAATTGGAAATCCGCTGCTTAACTGGTTCGACTCATACCTAAACGGTCGAACTCAGGTCGTTAAAATCGGTCAGCAACATTCTACACCGAAGCCAATAACCAGCGGTGTCTTCCAGGGAAGTGTGCTCGGACCGCTACTTCTCTTAATCTATGTAAGCAATATATGTGACCCGATCAAACATGGACATCCATTTCTGTTTGCAGATGATGTCAAACTGGTTTACTCATTTCATCCAGACCAATTACATATGTGTTTGGGGAACATCTGTGAAGACCTATCCGCACTAAATATAGCTAGTGAGCGTTTATTAATGAAGTTCTCCGCAGTGAAATCCCAAGTACTTGGGTACAGATGCCGCATCCCAGAAGGCTCCATTATACTTGCCGGAAACGTGATTCCAACGTCTGATTCAGTTCGGGACTTAGGAATTAGGTACTCCAACTCTTTCAATTTCTCCGAACATGTTCTTTATCAGGTTGCGAAAGCAAGGCAGCTATGCGGATATATCACCAGAACTTTCTCCCTACCTGAAGTACGACTTGAATCATTCAAGACAATTGTACGTCCGACTCTGGAATATTGTACTATCGTTCACAGCCAATTGAGAAAGAAAGACAGAACGGCTCTAGAAAATGTCCAACGATCATTTACCAAGCTGCATATGGGACGCTGCTCAAACCTGACTTATTATGATCGCTGTCGAAAACTCCAGCTGGATCCACTTTGGCTGAGACGCTTAAAGAACAACCTCGTTCTCTTTACAACATTATAAACCAACGAATTTACGCAGACAGCACCGCACTTGAACTACGGAAGATTGCAGTCTACCCCACACGTAATGGCGACTACTTGATACATACAAACCTTTCAAGTCATAAAATTCGGTCGAATTTCTTCTTAGTGAGATACACTTATCTGTGGAACAAACTACCCCTACAGATACGCATGTGTACAAGCCATGTCACTTTTCGAAATCTCCTTCAGACCTTCCTCACTATACCAAATGCTCTGAAGATATTTGACTCACAGCAAACATTAGAAACATTGACAGAAGTTGGTATAAAAAACATTTGATAATATCTTACAGCTAGCTTACCCACTACATGTCATTACATACCATACCAAATCCTGTGTCTTTGCAGCCTAATAGTCCCTTCCTTTATTATCTACTCCTGACGATACAAACATCCGTAAATTTTACATATGAGTTGCGCGGGTCTAGGACTCAACGAAAAGTAATCATGATCCGAAATGCTATCAATAAACTTTTCTTTGATGTTATGAAACGTATTCACTATACAAATGATCGCTCCCACTTATGGGGCCGTGTACCGTCCGTCGGTAAATATACAAATTTATTTATTTATTTAATACGACCACCATCATACAACACACGAAATAAGGAACATTCGGTAGTGGAATGCAGGTCGAAGACAACCAGATCCGCTAATTTCTTCCTTATGCACGTATCTGAAACAAATTACCATCCATTCTTGAGATTCCGAGGAATATGACAAAAGGACCAGCAGATACTTGACCGTGCAAAACGTGGTTCGCCTTTTGGGATGTCACAACAAATAGCCAGGGCCTAGGATTTATATGATCCAGAAACCAGCCGACAACTAAGTGGATATTGCAGTGGGAAGATCACTACACTCACCGTCATTATATTCTTTCTTTCTCCTACACGGCTATACCAACGACGAAGTTATCACCAAAAAGTGTATACTGAGGGAGGAAGTCAATCAAACACACCTCCACATTCTCCGTCTTCATTGTCGATGTTCCCACTACACGTATTGCAGTTTACTGTTACAGTTATCTACAATAGGTGCTCCTCTTCTCCAGTTTTATGTGAGCGCCACTACCAGCATTCGCGGTACTGCTAAATAGCCTTGAACAATGCAGCTATGACGGCGTACTAAAAGAAAATCGATACCTACCTTATACATTTCCGTATTCATATCCCCAAGAGACCCACCAATCCCGACATAGACATTCTGTGCAACATCAGGTAACAGCCGGGAACAACAGACAATTGTTATACCCTATCAAAATTGAAAATCGATGCTCTTTACTATTGTACATTTTCCGATCATTCGTGGTTGTTGAACTAGAAAATGGTTTTATGTACAGGTGTGTCTCGCTGAAAACGAGAATATATAGGGTTTAACATTCATCGGTGAGTTGGGCCGTTGGAGGTGAGGTCGTCGTCGTCTTCGTCAAACATATCATCGTCCATATCATCTGCATCATCTTCATCGTTGCTAACTCCCATCTCGTTCATTATCTCATCATCATCATCTTCGTCTTCTTCTTCACTGCGCAACAGGACGTCAGCTGCAGCGGCTGCAGCCGTTGCTGCGCCGACTGTCCTGCCGGTCCTTGGATTGTAGCTCACTTGGGGAACTGTATGTATGAGTGATTCCTCCTCATCGCTATCAGGAGCGTGAATACTTCCGGCGGGACGAATTTGAGCCTGAGAAGGAGAGAGCACGATGGCGCACGCATGAGTCGGGACGAACTGCATGAAACAGGAGCAATATCAAAAAGGACTCTACCAAAAAACAGGCAGACAATTTCCGCGGGATGGGTGGCTTATGTATACATAGCAATGCCAGGCAAGATGTAAAGTTGCTGAGATTTATCAGAGACCATGTTCCGAACTCTTGACCGCGTTTCGCACAATTTCAACCACATGGTGGTTGATTAGAATGGAACACGGAAAACCATCAGGGATAATAAACCGTCTCCAAAAAGGCGATACCGTATGTGTCACATCATCGTAGCTGCTGTGATGTTTTGAATACAGAAAGGTTATTCAAGATAAGGGAATGAACGTTGCTGGTTGACCCCAAACTCTAAAACAATGCACATAAGGATAGCAAAAACAGTGCGAACATCGCAGGACCAACCTTGCTTGCCGAGTCGATAACGTGTTCAAGAATTCGACCGAACTCTTCCAACACTATGCGTTCTTGAGCAGCAGGTGGCAGATCGCGACGCTCTGCTTCCTCTGCTTGAGCCAAAAGGCAACTGGCGGTCGCTTCAATAACTTCCCAGGTAAAAAAGCAGTGGGGTAATCTAGTGAATTTGAGGGAGAAATGAGTAAAATAGATAACATAGCTGCTGTCAAGTGACTAGACAGTGAGATCTCCCGCATGGAAGCAGACAAACAGCGCGCAAGATGGAACGCAAGCAACCACCGGCCAGTTGGATGGGTGAGCCGGATTTCGGTATGAGAAAGCCGCTCAAGATGATTAAGTTTTAGTTTGGGGGCTTAAGTCCAAAACGCGATCACAGCTCCCATCCGTTCTCGTGTCGCTGGTCTGAGTTATGCCATCGAAATTTAAGGATGGTGGCGGGTACTTTGCAGAGTTGACCTACCGAATTGAACACGGAAGGGTTAAAGTGTTCTGACCATCGGAGCGAATCAAACGTGCTAGTTCTGTTCAAAAATGGTATTCGCTAACCAAAGAGGAAATAGCCAGCAGTAACAAAGTTCATGGCTTCCGCCTTACTGCTTAAAAATGACCCAAGATGTTCGAGACAAGGGTCTCAGTGGCCGTGTTATCTTTGCAGTAAAATCGAGATCACTCACACGTATCACAAGCCGGGTGTGGCTGGATAACTAGAAATCGACAGAATACCAGACTAGGTCGCTCCACTCTAAAGTGTTCCCGGGAAGGTGGATATTTTACGTGCAATGAAACTGAATGGCTCAACGTCCATGGTGATTTTTCGGGCACCATTCTGATAAAAAGTCCCGTATGTCAGAGTTGACAGTACGTTGATACGGCATACCGACACTACGCTGCCACGCAACGACCACCGTTAGCGTGTGGGCTAAGAATACTGTGGGGTTGCCCGGTCATCTAGGCAGCTTCGAACCAGTGATCACCGGATTACAAGGCAAACATGTGATCCTTTTGGCCGCCAGAGTTGACCTATCTCTAGTGTCCTTTTGGCGTGCAATCTCTCTTGAAACGTTCTCTTGTGAAATTCTACGATCCACGTACCGAAGTGATTATACGGGTACCGCCTTGCTGGTTGACAACGGATAAGTGGTGTAGTCGGTCATGCACAAAGCTTGGAGTGATTCCATCGTTTATTTTGCAGTACGCAGAACAACTAATCACATGCTGGTCCCCTTCCCCGTAACACCGAGGATCAAGGTGCAGCCCATCAAGATCATCCATCTCCGCAGTTTCAATGACAGTGACGTATGCGTGAGTGTTGTAGTTAACATAGTTCAAAAGTCAGATTTGCTCTCATGAACCTGTACCACCTTTAATGCTGGAATAGGAATTCTCTTGGTCTCAAAGTTCGAGCACACAGGACAACAATGAGGGTCGCTTTCCCCTACCGTGAGATTTAAATTGCAGTCTACATAGCTTAACCATCGTTGCTGGCACCAAGCGGCACTGACCAGAACGCGACCCTAAGGTGCGCAAGTGTTAGATGATAATGAACAGATAAGTTCGTTATATCAAGGTCCTCTTAATGACAGCCGCTTAGGGTAGGTTTGAGGGAGACAATTGTAGATTTGGCGAGGGTCACTAAAACAAGTGCCGTTCCGGATGAAGCTTACGAGACTCCCATGTTTTTGGCTCAAGACAGGGTCCACTACTGTTGCCAATGGCGCACTTGATATCACTTGAAAATTCGCACGATGCTAGGCTATCCGTAGGGGTAAGGAAAATTATGATGCGGGAAGTCCCGACGGGACAACGATGTACTAGAATTAGGTCGTCGGTGGATCGCATTCACCGGTGCTGTGAGCAAACAATCGCGACTGACCATAGATAATGTGAGTATATGTCCATGTCCAGATGGCCATACAACGGCAAATGAGTAAGATTAAGTAGCAGTCGAATCTGCATCATTTGGAGATACTAGACAAATCCCCAAGACCACACGGAGATGCAAAGGGCAATAGGATAAATGGCACGGACGGTGTAATAGCGTAAACCGTAACCATTATCATAGACGCTCTTGGTCATACAAAGTATAGTATCGAAGAGAGGGAACTTACGTTTCAGACGGTGGCTCGATCAGGTGTTTCTTGTAGGACGCAGGTTGCCGTGATCGCAAAGATCCCATCGCGGCAAGCCGCATGAGGGAGCGGCGCTCAACACTATCCTCTGTGTTTCGACAACCTTGGCATCGACATAGGTCGGAGCAACTGATTTTTGCCTCGTAACATTCACAGTAATTTTTAAGGCAACCTGAACGTTTACAGTTGCACCCCTTGGTGTGCTTGCGCTCGCCTTCGCCACGACCAATTTTTGGATGAAATGCAGTAGGATTGCGTTCCAGCGTCATCTTGATCGCACGACCACGTTCCTCTTCGTAAGCCAGATTGTTCATGCAGTTGTTGCAGTTGCAATTCTGACAAAGCTGTCCTTGTGCGAAGCATTCGCAGTACAGTTTCAGGCAATGGGATTTTGTGCAATTGCAGGGCTTTCGAGAATTTGCCAAACTAGACATGACAGTACCAGAACCGCCCATTTGATTGATCGTGCTATGCGCAAGTCCTTGGGGGCCAGGTATCGACTGCATTACATTCGCATTTATCGACATGATGGGACCGCCGTAGGTGGGATAGGGTTGGCCCATGGGAGATGCGACGTAAGCGGTACCGGGATTGATAACTAAAAAGCGGTGAAGTATTTATAGCACCAGATAAGCTATTCGAAAAGACATGCCACTACAATGAGTTACATACTGTGGCTAGATGCGTTTATAAATGTGTATTCGCGTTGTGTATGCGTGTCATCTTATGGACATCGCCGTCATTCACCTGGGGTATTACGATACATGGCCAGCTTCGCTTTGTTTGGGTATCCTGGAGTACAGAGTTATATCAAACGGCAGATCAGATCAGTTCCGCGTGTAGTAATGATCAAAGTTACTTGTGTGTAGCACTTTTGGATCGAACGCCAGTTATGACTGGAGTGCGGCAAATAATCGCAAGTAGAAATGTGATTTGGACTACCCAATGAGGCTGCCCCGATCGGTGTGGCTAGATGTATAGAACGCGGCAGCGTGTAGTACGATCGTGGCTCGCAAGGACAAACTGGTCTGGAGATGAGTAGACCTGAAGAAGAACCTTGGGTATTCATGCTCAGAGACTGAGAACAACAAAATCTACTCAGCAGAGAAACGATCATGGTGACCAAGTGACACCGGGGAGAAATACGGAACAAACTGAAGTTTTATGGCGATCTAACGGCGCAACGAATGTTCACCTAAACGATAACGTGACTGACGGTAGTATCTTAATGCAACTAAGTTGAGGATAAGATTCACGCACAAAGTAGTTCGGCAACGATACGAAATAAGACCGTCACGTCGCTGATATCAAACGGAAGTGTCGCCTAACGGGCCATGCAGCCGGGGAGGCAATAACATCACATGCTTCCGTTCGTTTTAGAGGATGAAAACCGCAGGCGCAAACCGTGAGTAAGAATCGTGGCCGACCTCAACACAAAACCTAATAATGAAAGGTACAGTTGGCTGTTTTTAATACTGGCGTGGCCAAATGACTCCCAACTTGTTACTACCCAAGTGCCTGCACTCTGGAAACCCTCCCAACCGACATATGCGCACTGGAAGATCCGCAGGTTTCTGGCCTAAAGCTTCTTACAGGCACCCGCGTGGCTGACTTGGACTATGCTGATATTGTCTTGTTCTGTGACGACTCAGATCATGTAGGTCGTTATAAATCTCTTGGTGCTTGAAGCTTTTAAGTACGGCATGACCTTTACTGCATCATAATGTAAGGTCCTACAGGATTGGCGTCCACCTGCCCCCATGCTGATTCTTGTAGGCACGCAGCTTGAACAAATGGATAGCTTCATCTACTTTGGAAGCTGGGATTTTTCTGATGGCACGATCGGTACAGATTTCTCTCTGTATTGCCTAAGCCCGATCGGCTTTCACTGGTCTGAATCGTTTGTGGCGCCGGGGTGACTTCTCACTCTCGGTAAAGAATATGGTCCACAGTGTCTGTGCTCGCACGGTCCTGTTGTATGAAAGCGAGTCCTGGCCGACCCGTGTGAATGATTTGCGCCGGATTTCGGCCTTTTACAACGGTTGTCTGTCGAGAACAGCTTGTATGTGGTGGCAACACCATGTTTGCAATGACGATGCTAGACGTCGCGTCCCGGGTAATATGGCCTCCCTCTCGGCAAACTAATATCGCTGCGCCAACTGAGGTAGCTAAGTCGCGTCCTACGCATGCTGTGCGAACATTTTCCGCGGCGCGCTCTATCCGCTCACGCAGGGTAGCACGGGAAGAAATCTTGGTAGTCAGCCTACCGCATGGCGGCAAAACCTCAAGGCGTTGACTTCCAGTCTCGCTGTTGCTGGTCTACGTCTTCCAGACTGGGAACTGAGAGATGAAAACATTGCTGGTTAGAACTTCTTGATGACACATCGCGTAACCGCGGCTTGCATGAGTCTATGCATTGATTCTATTGATCAAAACCGTAATCACTAAGCTAACAAAACGGCGCTTTCAAAAATTTTTCTTTATTACTTCCATTTTTGACCTTTGTATTTACTATGCATATTTATTCCATGATTTTGGATAACTCGATGTATGTTGCATAGACTTACCATATGGCTGGCGGCAACCGGTTTCGGATTTGCCTGTCACTGTGGCCAGCCACAGGACGCCTGCGCCTACAGAGGGACCATGGGTGGCTTGCGCTGCACCACCCACAGCTCCATCCACACACCCCATATCATCCAGTGTAAACCCGAAGGAATAAGACCGGGAGGCATGTGGATGGGAGCCACGTTTCATCAACCGAGCAGGCCCACACTCTTTCACGGGCAAACACAAGCACACTGTATTTGGGGAATCAAGCGCACACAAGGCAGTGGCTGGACCGTAGTCCGCTCCAAACTGAGTTCCTGGAACCGCTCTTTGAGCCTAGCACGGCCACAAGGATCGTGCACCCCTGTCCCCTCCAGCAACGACCAACTGTCTCCTGGAGTCAGTATGGACGAGGTAGTGGATAATAGACAGGTATCAAGCATCAGCCATTCACAAGCTGAAATAAAATAAATCCAATAATGCATACGGATACGGTGGCATAAATCTTCGCTAAATTAGCATATGAAGTAAGCTGGTTAGCAACGAACCCGAGATAAGTAAAAAATGTCCACAAGTTACTTAAAAATGCTAAACGCAACAAAGTTACCGAAGATAAGCGCAATTAGTGTAAGCAACGTGGCCAGTTGATAGAACATTATTCAGGTAGGCAGAACAAGCGAAATAAAGTGGAATGAAATGTATCCAGCTTAAAAAGACCTAGTTTAAGTGTAAGCTGGTTTCGCCCAACTGCGGTGAAGAAGCATCGAGAATGCAACGTCAGCCTCAGCATATATACATATATATATATATATATATATGATTTGGCGGCGTCCGTATCCGGATTTGCCTGTCACTGTGACGTCCATAGCGACAGTCACAGGACGCCTGCACCTACAAAGGGGACCATGGGTGGCTTGCGCTGCACCACCCATAGTTCCATCCACACACCCCATATCCGGTGTAAACCCGAAGGAATAAGACCGGGAGGCATGTGAATGGGAGCCACGTTTCATCAACGGAGCCGGCCCACACTCCTTCAACAAGCAGAATGGAAGCATTCCGGCCTAATTGGGAAAGCATACACACCAGACGTACACGAGGCGGTGGCTGGACCGTAGCCCGTTCCACACAGGATGGAACCACTCTTTCAGCCTAGCACCGTCACGAGCACCGTGCACTCCATCCCCTCCAGCGACGACCAACTGTCTCCTGGAGCCAGTATAGACGAGGTAGTGGGTAATAGACAGGTAGGCACCTTGTCAACATTCACATCAAGCGCATCCACACCGGGGAGCTCAAACAACTTCTACTTCTGAAATGCAAGATCACTCAGCACGCAAGCAAACGTACCACATACGCCGCCTTATTGGCCTGGATTAGTAAATCGAATGGGAGCGTACGTATCATGCTTCTATTCCGCGTGCAATAGTACCTTTGCACCTGAGCAACCGCCCTTATGATCAATGCCTTGGGTTCGCAACACCTGAAATCAACATGAGTTTGTCATAAGCTCACCTTCTTCATGTTCTGGTAATGTTATTTCCGGTTTGCTCGAGTGCCGTTTTCCTGCACTAAGTTAGTCGTCCAAAAGCGGTATGAGTATCCTCGTGGAATTCATTCGGTATACATGTATACCTAGATTGGCGTCATCTGTGTCCAATGGCAGCTCGAATACAACATAAGCACATGCGTTTATCCAGACTTAAATGGAGAGAGAGACATCAGACATCATCATCAATGGTACGACAAACGTGTACTTGGGTTTCATTTGGAGGTCAGGCTAACAACCACTTTCGCACGCATGAGAATAACTGCCCAATACGAACGGTTGATGTTAGACGTGATGCTAGACGTGACAGCCTTAAATCTTGGGTATCCATATTTGAAGGAACCCGATGTAGCAACTGCTAGGTAGAATGATGACTAAACTACTGGTACAGTGAAATAGTGTGCACTTAGGTGTTGTCC